AAGCAATAAATCAAAATATAAGTGGTCCATAAGAGCAGTGCATAAGTCTAATGAAATGGCATACATCTTTACAACTTGAGTACAACAAAGTAAAATACGTATTACATCTTGATCAAAAGGCTTCTCGAGCCGACATATACAAAATACAGTGAATACAAGCCAAGAAGCATGATTTTCAAGATTCGCCGACATAAAAGAAATGACATCGCCGACGTGAATACAAAACAAAGCCGACATAATCATGGATCCAAAACAAGCTTTCAAAAAAACATTCTAGGCGTCGCCGACGTCCTGCTCATCACCTACATATATATAGAGAGGGTGAACTTGGATACTCAGTGAATGGTACTAGAAATAAAGGTTTTGCATGAATATAGCCGAAGTCTTTCAAAACGAAACATGCCAAAACCACACGAATATTAGCCGAGATCTTTCCAGAGCAAAACACATGAAAACTTTATCAAAACAAGAAATGAACCGTATTCATATATAAAGTCTTACAAGTCTCAAGGGATGCTCACTAGCATCGGCAAAACCCAAATCAAGCTTTCCGAACAAACAAGTCCACGCGGTAAGCCGTCAGTGGCAAAACAAGGACTGCACGATCCGTAATCGATTAGCCAAAGGTATTGCGAAAGTTTATAGTCCTCCAGCACAAGGGACTTGTTTTACTTAAGCCCGTAGCTCTTTTTAACACGATGGTCTTGTGTTACTTAGGCCCGTAGCCCGCTTTAACACGATAGTCTTCCCAAGAAAGGACCGTATCCTTTTATACTTAGTGCTGCGAAAGTTTAGAGTCCTCCAGCATAAGGGACTTTTATACTTGGTACTGCTAAAGTTTAGAGTTCTCCAGTACAAGGGACTTTTATACTTGGTACTGCGAAAGTTTAGAGTCCTCCAGTACAAGGGACTTTTCAAGAATGACATCAAAACAAAGCTTATACTTGATACATCAAAACAGAGCTATTCATTCATGCTTAACAAATACTTTCGTCAAAACAAAGCAAAGCAAGATTTATCAAAACAGTATAACATAGCTTTATTAAAAGCACCACTCACCTAGTTCTTCAGGTGTAGGCTCAAAGCAAGGATCAAGGTCCTACAATCACATAGCAATCACATTCTCAAAACGAGCTTTATATGCATGCAAATGGTCTTGGCATTCTCACCAAATCCAAGTCAATAACAAAGCAAAACATGTTGGGAGTTTAAACACTGCTCCCGTCTCATGAAAACAAACTGGGTACCAATCAGGTCTTTGCCGAGGTCCTACACCTCCTTGCCGAGGTGTGGTCCCGATTGCCTCATTCAAAAACAAAGTCGGGAAAACCTGGGTTTCCCTTTGAAGAACATGAAGAATATGATCATGAGGAAGATGAATGCAAGATCATAACTTGTTTAAAAAATCTGAGATTTCATGCCATGAGTTCAAAACATGGACCTGGGTACCCATACAAGAAGGTCATGCAAGAACAAACACAAAAACATGGTTTTTGCTCCAAACTTTCGGATCAAAACGAGACTTTCTTCAAGAACACATGAATACTATCTTTCTCTTCCGAAACCAACTTCAAATCGATGCATGACATGCAAAACAAATCCGATCATGCAATGCAGCTAGATGATCGATAAAAACAACAAGAGTAGGTTAAAATTCTAACCTCAAAACTCGAATCCAACGGTTCAAATCACAAAGATCAAGCTTAGAAGATCTATTCTCACTCAAGAACTTCTCCTCCTTCTCCCTAGAGCTTCTCTCTCTAAAGGCAAAGATTTGAGACAAAATGATTTGTTTCTAGGTCTGCCGGCTGTCTTAACAATCAGCTCGGACACATGGCGTCACCGGGTTGGTTCAACTCAAAAGGTGATGGATTGATAAGACAAGTCTATGACAAAGCGTACACAGCAAGCTAGGGCAAGACACATCGACAAGTAATGACATCGGCTAAAGTCAAAGCTTCGGCAACAAGATAACAAAGACATCGGCTAGGGAGGACGACACTTGACTAAGCTGTGCCACACCTTGGCCGGGGTGTGCCACACCTCGGTCTAGGCCATACCCGCCCAAGGACAAGGATCATTAAGTGCATAACATCTCGGCAAAAAGCCCGAGGTGAAGATGGAGGTCAACCAAGGGGTTCCAAGGCAGCTCTAGGTACAAAGGTTCAAAGGTGAACTAAGCTCAAGATGACCTCGGCTACACACCAAGCAAGGAACAACATCATGCAAGTAATACTTAAACAAAACAAGGCAAGGCAAACCCTTCAAAACAACACAACAAGACAAGATCATGCATGAATATATGCAAGTATGACAAGAGTAAGGTGTGGGTCGCTATAGCTCGGGAGGTAGAATGAGCAGCAAGAGCCATCTAATTAGTAGATGAAATAGGAAGAGAAGATGGCTGAACCAACTGGCGGCGAAGTTCCTCGCTATCAAGAATAGCAAATGCATGCCTCATACAAGGATGTCATAGGAGATGTATTTAAAATCCAAATCTGAAGAGACTCGAATTCAGGTTTTAAACTCATCGAGAATTGGTATGCATGGAGAAGTCCCATCCTTTTGACCACAATAGATGCTGCTGTCTCAGGAAAATCACTCACTCAATGGCTCATGTTGGGCCAATTTTTCCTGCCGGGGCTGAAGATAGCCAAAGAACTTAGCAACAGAAAGATCTAGAGCTCCTTGTGATGCATGAGAAATATCCCGATAAAGCTAAAAAATTCAGGAGTCATGACGAGCATGAGCATACATTTGCGAGAGAGCACTCCAGAGATGAGGAACAATATCACAATACATGAAGATATTATAAATATGTTCCTCCATAGAGTTAAAAATCTAGCCCAAGAGAGTGTAATTATCAATGTCCCATTGAGCTCGTTTAGGATCATCATCAGGTTGTTTCTCAGTCTCCTGAAGCCAACCAGATTTGCCTTTACGCCCAAGATAAAGACGAAGAGAGGGACTCCAAGCTGCAAAACTCTTTCCATTGAGTACCACAAAATTCTTTCCATTGAGTACCACACTGGTAATACGATGAACAAAAGAAGGGGTGATAGAAACATCAAACCCAGGTGGGATAGGAGGAGCAATAAACCCCGCAGTGGTCACAGGCATCTCAGAAGCCTCAGTCATGATCCAAAACAAAAGACCCACACAAGAATAGTGGAAGACCTGCAAGAAAAACTCAAGCAAAGAAGCCGAAGACATGACGTACCACAACAAATGCTACCAAACAAATTGGTAGCCCAACAATTAGATAAAAAATAGTGAGCACATGGTTACCACGAACCAGGTCAAAACATGAACCAGCAAGCCCCAAAAATGGACTGCAACAGGGCTGAAACCACCCTAGGTGGTTTGACTCACACAGAATAGACCTTAGATGGTCTGTTCAGAGGCTGGGTTACAGCCTAGAGGTGCCGACTAGGCTTGTAGAGGCTACAACCCTAACACGTTGGCCACAGCCTAAAATACTCAAAATGTCATTTATCAAAGATAATTATTTCAATGAAAAACCCTAATATATGTGGGCTAGAAAACCTAATTAAAATAGGAAACTGAAGACAAATCTTTATGCACGCATGTTCCGCATCAGTTGTCCTTGTCATGTTGAAGGTTTTGGAGGACACGAGGAGATTAAAGATGAACAAGTGTATAAAATTATAGCCTAGCTGAGTATTTCATTTATTGAGTGGCCTTTAAAACCCTTTCCTTTTTGTTCATCGCATTCAAATACTATTTTAATTTTTTATATGGATCTAGTGTTGGCATTAGACTTGTATGGAGCTGAATTGAGTTGTATGGAGCTGAGTTGAGTTGATGCTCCTGGCAACTGTGTTTCTGGAAGGAAATTAGCTAATTGTCCCCTATTATGGAATAGAACTTTTCCATTTTATGACTTACTCTCCCAAAAATAACCTTTACCATTTCCTAATGCTGTTATGACCACCATCACGAGCCTTCTCTGGTACCATCGATGTCGTCACGAATCACCATCATTACCAGCAGCATTGTAACAAGCAAAAGCCCTGCTTCCTCTACACTTCTGCTTCCATCTAGACCACCCCAATTTCAGTACCTCTAGGATTATATGCTAACATCACTATACGATCCATTACCTTGGAGTCACTAACATTACCACCAGACTACCATATTCTAACTACTACCATATTCTAACTACATCACAACCATTCCCAAATCTGTTTTCATCACTAGTGCCACCATCCCCAGACCTTAATTGCAGCTACCATTGCTTACACTACTATTGCTGTATTGCTTGTGTTGTCCTGATTATTTGTAAATATATCTTTTCTGCCCACAAACATAGATTTACTGATATAGTGTGCAACAAAAAAAAAAGTGGAGCCTTTTTTATTCTAGTAGTTTGCGCTTGTACTTTTATTTCAAGGTTTGCATTTTCTGATCAAATTGTTGTGTGGTTTTCAAATTTCATTATGAAAGTGGTTGTCATCTGAGTCTTCCAAAAGTTTGAAGTTTCAATTATCTGCATGTAATTAGTTTATAATTTCATTCTGATTTGCTCTCTGATGGGGTTTTATTGCTCTCCCAATCTGTTGCAGTAGACTGTGTACAGCACATCTAATTTTTCAGGTGTGTTAGTAGATATCCGTAGTGCTATGCATCATATGCTGATTCCCTATTTATTAAAATGGCCTGAAAGTGTAGCATTGTGATTATGTTTCAAATTTCATTCAATAATTGCTCTTTTTTTTTTCTTTTTTCTTTTTAATATTGAGTAGGTATAATCTGTGAAACATGAACATCCAAATCCTTAGTTGATATTTTGTTAATTCAATAATTGCTCTTTTTTTTTTCTTTTTTCTTTTTAATATTGAGTAGGTATAATCTGTGAAACATGAACATCCAAATCCGTAGTTGATATATTGTTAATTCTTGCTATTTATGATGTCATTTTCTTGTTAATATATTTTTAATGCTTTGATGTTGATTCATGATTTTATTTTTATTTTTAGGTTGAATCTGAAATATTTTGTCTCCATGGTGGATTGTCTCCCTCCATTGAAACCCTTGATAACATACGCAACTTTGACCGTGTTCAAGAAGTCCCTCATGAGGGTCCAATGTGTGATCTTTTGTGGTCCGACCCTGATGATCGTTGTGGTTGGGGTATCTCACCCAGGGGTGCTGGATATACTTTTGGCCAAGTATGTTATTCTTGCTTCCTTTTTTCTTTTGTGGTGTATATTGCTTCCTGGGGAGGAAAGAGGGGCTTTATTTTCTAATTGTATTATTGTGCTTACAGGACATATCTGAGCAGTTTAACCACACCAATAACTTGAAACTAATTGCCAGAGCACACCAACTGGTTATGGAAGGATTTAACTGGGGACATGTAATTACTTCCCCAACCTTTGGAATTTATTTGGTGTTTATTCTGTTGAGAGTGAGATTTGTTGACTGACTGCTTTTCTTATTACAGGAGCAAAAGGTAGTCACTATATTTAGTGCTCCTAATTATTGTTATCGCTGCGGCAACATGGCATCCATCCTGGAAGTTGATGATTGCAAAGACCACACTTTTATTCAGGTCTCTCTCTTTCTCTCTTTCACAGATGCTCGTGGACACACATGTAACACATGCTATTATTAGTATTAGGATAATGTGAGGAGATCTATCTCTTACTGTAGTTTGGTGTATGTTTCTCTTGCAAATACTGTGCCAGTAGAGCAGAGCTTGAAATGATATGTCCATTGTTGGTTGCAGTTTGAGCCAGCTCCCAGGAGGGGAGAGCCTGATGTAACACGGAGAACACCAGATTACTTCCTATAATACTTGAATTATTATTGCTCAATTCAACTGGCGAGCGTTTGATGGCTGGTTTGTTTCTGTGTTGGGATGGGAGCTAGTTTTCGAAAATTTTAGAGTTATATAATTTTGCGCGATGGTAGTGGTAGTAGGGTAGCAGAAAGAATGTATAATCCGCAGATACGGCTTCCTTTGATTCAGTTATTGAAATTCTTGCAGTAAAGAGGCTACAAAGCTGGTAACATCAGCAGCATATGTACCGTTTCAAGCAGACAATGTCCCCCTGTCCGTCGCCCCCCCCCCCCCCCCCCCTCCTCTCTCTCTACACTTCGTTTTTGTACCTTCTTGACGAAGAATGGTACTCAGGGGCCGGGAGCTGTAGATGAAAGGAGTGTTATTTATTTCTTTTTCTTTTTTTTAGTCGCTATCCTATTCTTCGAATCAACTATTTTCTAATTGGTGCTTTGATTTAGCCGCATACTCTCTCCACATACCTGGATGTAAAATAGTTTTGCTTATGCTGTGTTTGGATTTCAGATTCATCAAGGGAAAATGTGAACAGAGTTACTTAATACTCATTAGTTTTGCGTCACTAAACAAAAATATGATTTTTTTTTTAAATTTTTTTATTTTAACAGTTATATATATTCACTTTCTTCTTATTTTTCTAACCCAACCAAAAAAGAAAAAAGAAAATAAGAAAAAGAAGCTTCTAGTCTTTTGTGTACCTCTCTTTTTTTTGATCTTTTCGTTTGTTTTTTCTTTTCCACGAAGTGAAGATTCAAAGAAACCTTAGTAGTTGACATACACAGCTAAATTCATTGACTGGGCTTGTAACACTTGCATTGCATTTGGTGGGGTTGGTTTGCATTAAACTCTCCAACACTGGGAAAAACTGATGGAAGGGAACTATAATTGTAAAAGTTTGATAGATGACTTTTTGCATTGATATTTAACTTCGTTGCTTCATTAGAGCGTATTAACATGTGGCAAATTATATTCATACATAAAATTTATATAAAAAATACTACAAGAATGACGTGTTAGTCATATTATTGCAAATATAAATTATCATTCATAGCTATTTTGTTTTAAAATGAAAGGTTACTATTCAGTCACATTCACGTTTGGGTAATTTTATTTACTTTTCACTCGTTGCCATGCATGAAACATCCTAATAATCATGCTTTTAAATGGATATCTATCTATATCTATATCTATATCTATATATATATATATAAGAAGCTCTCTCTTCTTCATGTTTTTCTTCTCTCCTTTTTTGCCTTTTCATTTTGAATAATTTACTATTTGTGGCTTATATGTTGAGTGAAGATTTTTCGTAATTACGCATTCTTGGTCAATTATGTAACAAATTTTTTTGTAATTACGCAAACATTCTTGGTCAATTATAAAATAAGTTATTTTGTAATTACGCAAATATTTTGGTCAATTATGAAATAGGTTTTTTTTTGTAATCACGCAAATATTATCGGTCAATTATGAAACATAAATATTTTATTTTTGAACAAATTACAAATAAACTCATAAAATTTGTTTAAAATATGAATCGGTCCTATAATATTTTAAATTATCACTATCGTTTGTTATAAATTTAGATTTAACACAATATCCAAGGAAAAAAAAAATGTTCTCCTATACAGTAATAAATTATTAAAATTATTCATTGAAAAATATTTCTCATATCATGAAAAATTATTAATTAACTTAATGATTTGTTTATCAAGAAAATGGCTAACTGAAAAATATTTTTCATATCATTAAAAATTATTAATTTACTTAATGATTTACTTATGAATAAAATTAATCATTTTTTATGTGAGTATAATTTATGTATTAATAAAATTAGTCATTTGTATATATATATATATATATATATATGTATTTTCTTCTATTTCTTGATTAGTTCAGTGACTTGCCTTAGTAAGTTTTTTAGATGAGAGAATTGTCTTATGTTGTGTTTGGTTGGGGGATTTGGAGAGGGATTTGGAAAGGGAAATGGAAAAGGTAGGTGAAATGTGAATAAATTATGCCTATATTTCACATAGTTTCACACACTTTTTCCATTTCCCTTTCTAAATCCCTCCCCAAATCCCTCAACCAAACACACCATTAGTATTTGTTTTATATTTATATATTGAGGAAAGTTACACACTATAATTTTGTTTTTTTTATTTATAAATTCAGAAGAAATGTGAAAGACTCATAAATTCACACAAAATAATATGGTAATAGAAATAGTATGATAATAGAATTAAAATCGATATCATTGGAGGTGTATAACAAATCAAAAACTAATACATATCATATTACATAATTTTATTATATATCTAATAATTTATTATATTTAATTTTATAAAACAATAGTTAAATTTTTAACAACTTATCAAAATACAAAACTTACACATAGACGTGGGGGGCAAAGAGTGAAAGAAAAAGAAAAAAATTTTTGTTGGACCAATCAGCACCCAAGCATCCACTGGGGTGCTGGGGTCTACCCCATTTTCCTAATATATATCTGTCTCCCAGAGAATGGTTTAAAAGACTTGAATTTGCTTACATAAGTTGCATGCGTATCATTAATATATCTTAAAATATTTATCCTCATTTATTGATAACTAAACCAAATTTGCTACTTGAATAAGTTAATAATATTTACTACATATATAACTTACATCCCGGAATAATTATTTGATTGTCTTACCAATATAATTAGAAATATGTTTAAGACTACAAAAAAATCATTCATGATTAGGAAAATGTTTAAAAAATCTCATCTTCTATTAGATTCTCACATCTTTTGGCTATGTTTGATTTGTTTCTTGAGGAAAGAAAAAAAATGAGAAAAATTTCAAAAATTTGTTTGGTTGAAAATTTGTGAAAAAATTTTGAAATCATTTTTCTTTCTACTATACTTCAATCAATCTCTTTTTTTTTCTCCTCTCTCCTCTCACATCTTATACGTCAATCGATTCGTTTTTTCTTACATTCATCTATTCAATTACAAAATAAAAAAAAAAAATTTAAATAATCTCAAACTCCAAAACTATTTTCAAAACTTATAACTAAACAAATTTTTAAATTTTGTAAACTCTTTTAGAAAATTGTTTTTCAAAATTATTTCACAAATACACCCCACATAGTCTTTGTATTTTTACCCATTAAAACATAATAACAATAATAAAAAAACACACACAACCATTTACCAAGACCATAATTTTTAAAACGATTTCCAATTCAAAAAATCCAAAAAACAAAAACAATTAAACTAGGGAAAAAAATTTTGTTTTCAAAATCCTCAAAAAAATATTTTATAATATGAAAATTTTCACTGTATAAAATCCAATTACCATAAACTAAACCCTAAATCTTGAAAGCCCATTCATGCTCATTGCGAACCACCGCCTCTTCCTCCGGAGTGAAATCATTCTCAATATTGAATATCTTCCTCACCTCCTCTGGCATCAAGTCCCTGATCTGATCTGCAATTCGTTGACAAATCAACTCCAGCAAGCCCTTCACATCGAGGTAATTCGCAGCAGAGACGAGTTTGAAGAGCACAGCCAAGTCCTTCTTCGCTACAAACTCTGAATCGAACTTTTTCAGATCGGCTTCTTCAGAGATCTTCTTTGAATCCGAATGCTTTGAACAGTAATCGATCGCCATTGTTAGGGTTTCGCTGTCCACGTTTGGGAGTGGAATCGTTGTGATTGTGGATTCTTCGTCCTCGATTATGCGCTTGATTGTTTCGAATTGCATCGCGATTGACTCTGTTAGGATGAATTCTTTGTTGTCGGAGCTTTTCAATGTGTAAGTCTTCTCCGAGGATGAAGACGGAGAAGATGATGAAGATGCAAACATAGTGTATCTTTGATTGTACGTTGTTGAGATTTTACACAGGGTTTGAAAATATTAGGATTTGTCATGAATTCTATATAAAGAGAGCTTTCCTTGGTGAAGAAGCAACTTAAATAAAATAAAAAATTAAGACACCATTTGGCATGTGCTATTTTAACATAATATTTTATTTGAGTTAAAATTATATCATTTAGGTCACATCACCTTATCACATCCCTTTAAATTTAATTCATATTTTATATTTTTAAATAAAACATTAAAAAAATTACTAAGGCCTTGTTTGTCATCTCTTAAAAAAGTCAAAAAGTCACTATCCTATTTAAATCACATCATCTTATTTAAGTCACATAACCTCTCTACCACATCACTTCAAACCTAACCTATACCCAACCCATATTTCATAAAAAGTGAAAAAAAACATTTATTTAGATCATCCCAAATCACTCCTAATTTAGCACATGCCAAATACCCTCTAAATTACATATGCCAAAAATATAATAGGGAGTTTTGGAAATTGACCTTTTTTATAGTGATTTTTTAATTTTTTAATTATAGAAAGACTTTTTAATTATAAAAAGACTTGATAAAAAATAAAGAGAATGATTTAATGATTTTTATCATTTTTTGACTTTTTAACTAAAAAAATAACGATGGTGCTACATGCACCAATTAGTATACTAACTAGTGTACAAATATTAGTTATAACATTATTATTGGTCACACTCATTAATTACATTACAAATTTCAAAAATCTCTTAAATTGTGTCACATCATCAATTAGTAAACTAATTAATATACCAATTAATACCTATAGCATTATTTAAAAAATAATTCCCAAATAAGATGTAAGTACAGTTTTGGCACACAATTACATTGGATTCTCATTATAATTAAACGTAATACTTACCTCTTTCTTTGTTAATAACTTTTTAGTTATATGAATGGAAAAAAGTCATATTTTTTTTACTAGGTCAAGTTTGGTAAGTTAAAAAAAAAAATTAAAAAGTCAAAAAATTACTTAAAAAGTTAAAAAGTTATCACTATTTACAAAAAATCAAAAATTATGGCTGCACAATTCTCAATTCTAATTTTTTCCTACACACTAATTTATATAAATTTTTAATGTATATTTTTCCATAAAAAGTCAAAAAATTAATCCAAACAACCATATTTTTTTCCTCAACGTTTTAGTCCAAAAAGTCAAAAAGTGCACTTATTTAGGACATCCCAAACAACCTTATTATTTTTTTATTTATCTTTATTACTTTATATCATTTACATTAATTTTGATCCTTTTAACTTTATTAAAAATGGAGCCAATATAATTATACTAGAACTATGATATTAATTATATTTTCTTTAAATTTCAAAGAATTTCTCTATAATTTACGTGGATAATAATAATATTCTCTTAATATCCGTGTATTTGAATCTAACTAAAATACTACCAATAGTATTAACTTACTAAATACATTTGTGGGACAAATTTTTTTTTGAGATTTTAAATTTAAGGTTTCTGATATTAGGATTTTATAAAATAAAGAACATGTAACATTTTTGTAATAGTTGGGATCCCTTAGAATTTTCACAAAGAAATTTGTCTTCATAGAAAAATTTTCAATTTTTCACAGAGAAACTTCAACTTCACAAAGAGAAATAAATTTTTCTAAAAATATTATTGAGGGGCCTTAACTAATAAGAAAATACATATTGGACCTCTCTTACTATCCATAGTTGGAGAGGGATGTTTTACTAATTTTCTCAATTTTTTTCAATTAAGCTACTTTTTACATGAAATATAAGTTTTTCTTTTTCTTTTTTAAATTTTTATTCAAATTTATGATCAAATCATTATGTATATATATATATATATATATATTTTTTTTTTCCCCCAAGAGAATGGTTTAAAAGACTTTAATTTTTTTACATAAAAAAAAGTTGCATGCGTGTGCTGCCATGATCATGAGTATATCCTAAAAGAATAATGCTATATGTATCAATTGGTATACTAACTAGTGTATCAATTGATAATGTGACATAATTTAAGAAATTTTTAGAATTTGTAATGTGATTAATGAGTGAGGTCAATAATAATGTCATAAGTAATGTTGATATACTAATTAGTACATTAATTGGTGCATGTAGCCCCACCGATCTTAAAAATATTTATCCTCATTTATTGATAATTAAACCAAATTTGCTATTTGAATAAGTTAATAATATTTACTACATCTGTAAATTATATCCAGCAATAAATATTTGATGGTCTTGGCAATGTAATTAGGAAAATATTTAAGGCCACAAAAAACCTTCCATAATTTGATCCATAATGATATGATAGGATACATGCCAATTTTTAATTTGGCATATACTCAATTGTATAGGATTTATCTCTGTTGTCACATCATTATCAGTAAATTTAGGAATTCAAATTATGGTCTCTAACATTACTCATGTACCTATAACAAATGAAATTGTAAAATGTGAGCTCTCTATTGTAGGTACTCATCTCATTAGAAATATGTGACATTGAGTCTATTTTTTTTTTAAGGATTGCGCTTGTTATTTGGAGGGGGAGTTTATTATGGATTCTATTTCATGATTTGATTGGTTTGTTTTTTAAGCTTATATAGGTATATTATTTATGGAAAAAAAAAATTCAAATTGACTCAATAATTGCAATTTTATCATATTTATCTTTTACAAAACTTAAAAAAATCACAACTAAACGATCTATTTTAATGTGCATATAATTATTTGATCAATCTCATTTCTTTACGAGTCACATACTTACAATGACCTACAAACTGAACAAATTATATCGTCAAAATTAGGCCCATAATGGGCCCCACTGGGAACCTCCAATTTAGATGATCGGAGAGAATCCATTCGCTTTTTCTTCATGGATGACTACAAGTGAGTGGTTGTGACCAAAATTAATATGATAGTACTAGGAAGAATTACTTAACAATTAGACAGAGAAAAATAAATACAAAAATGTATTTAAGTGTGGGGACATAATTTTTGAATGACAACACGTGGCCGAGGTGTCACTGAAGTGCTAGCCGAGGTGCCACGTGTCCTGGTCATGACGTCGAGATGATCTCGGCTAGGCGAGGTTATCTGCGAAGATACCAGAATCCGGGATAAGCGGATAAGGGACAAGAGTTCTAGAATAAGAGAGGACTTCAGTTTGGGTAATGATAAGACTCTTAAAGAGTTTATCCCAGTCTAGCTGGGAGTCCAAGATTAGCAGTAATCCTAAGTCCATTGAAGCTAGGCTTCTATTGGGACTAGGTTTGTGTTGGCTATAAAAGAGAGACACCCTCATGGGTCTAAGGTATGCTTTTTGTATCCTGAATAGTGAGTTAAGCACTTTTGCTATCTTTGAGAGATAACTGACTTGATCGTCGGAATGCCCCCGAGTGGACGAACCACCGCCAGAATCTCTTCTTTTTATGACAGGTCGTTCGGGCTTAATCTATTCTACCAGTATTCTCCAGCTGAGTGCTTGATTGGCAGAGTGGTCAGAAATTGACACACACAATTTGGCGCCGTCTGTGGGAACGAAAGGAGAATAGATGGCCAACGACGGACATAAAGAGAAAGTTGGGGATGACACCCCTACTGAGAGTGGGAAACATATTGACCTTGACGTTAAAGAACACAACTGCAATGAAGAGACTCGTGATAAGAATCACGGAGGAAAGAACGTCGGCTAGGAGGGCGGCGTACCGAAGAAATCGGACCGGAGTTGGTATTATAATGAGGACGACCTCCAAGTATGGAAAGATAGATGCCTGCGGAGGGACGACGAGATGAAGGGAATGTCGAACAAATTGGTGGACCTGCAAACGGTCGTCAATTTCCTGATGTAGAATAACGTCATGCAGCAACCGTTCCCGCTACAAGATACGCCGATTCCAGCGGCCAAGAAAGGTGTCTAGAAAGGGGGGCAGAAAACGGTTCCTGCAGTCCCTCATCATGGCGGGACCAAGGGACATTCTCACCGGCCTTCGTGAGAGGTCGAGCATGGAGAATCCCAGAAGACACGATCTTGGCCTAGATGATTAGGTCCGAGAAGAGAAGAGCTCAGCCTAAAGTGAGCAGATCCCAGATTCCAAAAGATAAGATCTCGGCCTAGATGATTAAGTTCGAGAAGAGAAAAGCTCAGCCTAAGTTAAAGACCTTTTATATAAGGTCCAAAAAGGAGTAGGTGGAAGCTATGCATAAGGCTGGAGAATGATGCTTGGGAGTTGGAATTTTCAAGCCAAGATCGGTTTAACACTTGCTGAAATTTAAGAAAAATTTACAAGTTGAAGTTAAACTGAGGTTATGTTTAACACTTGTTGAAATTTTTAAGAAAAATTTACAAGTTAAAGTTAAACCGATGTCATATTTAACACTTGTTGAAATTTTTAAGAAAAATTTACAAGTTGAAGTTAAATTGAAGTCATGTTTAACACTTGTTGAAATTTAAGAAAAATTTACAAGTTGAAGTTAAACTGAGGTCATGTTTAACACTTGTTGAAATTTTAAGAAAATTTTTTAAGCTAAAGTTAAACCGGGGTCGTGATTAAAGGAATGAATGATATAGGTTTCATCACCTCAGGATGCCGAGGTAATAGAACTTAGGGGGCAGTTGTGGGGACATCATTTTTGGATGACAACACATGGCCGAGGTGTCACCGAAGTGCCAGCCAAGGTGCTACGTGTCCTAGTCATGACGCCGAGATGATCTCGGCTAGGCCTAGGTTATCTGCGAAGATACCGAAATTCGGGATAAGCGGATAAGGGACAAGAGTCCTAGAGTGAGAGAGGACTTCAGTTTGGGTAAAGATAAGACTCTTAAAGAGTTTATCCCAGTCTAGTTGGGAGTCCAAGATTAGCATTAATCCTAAGTTCATTGAAGCTAGGATTCTATTGGGACTAGGTTTGTGTTGACTATAAAAGAGAGGCACTCTCATGTGTCTAAGGTATGCTTTTTGTATCCTGAATAGTGAGTTAAACACTTTTGATATCTTTGAGAGATAACTGACTTGATCGTCGGAGTGCTCCCGGGTGGACGAACCACCGCCGGAATCTCTT